CAAAAGCCTTTTGTTGATCAAATAATAATAGTTAGTACTGTTTTGATTGGTCTTTCTGATTTCTTAACATTATGAGTACATCAAGTGCAGCATCTGTTATAGTCTTGTTGGCAATAAAGACCTGTTGGACTAGTCCAATGATGCTGTTATATATGGGATTAATTTGGTTTGCAATAAGTTTCATAAAGATTTTGGCATCAGTGTTTACTAGTAATATTGGTCTTCAGTTGTTTATATTAGTTAGTTCATCTGACTTTTTGAGAAGTAATGTGATAAGGCTTTTGCTTTAAGAGATTGAAATTTGGCCTGTTTCTAGCACTTGATTAAACAGTTTAGTAAGCATAAAGAGAATTGTTTCTTTAGTATCTTTATAAAATTCATATGTTAGGCCATCAGATCCTGAAACTTTGTTATTTGAAAACTTGTTGATTACTTGGCTAATTTCTTCTTCTGTTATTTGTTTTTCTAGAAGTTTATTTTGTTGTGATGTGACTTTCAATAGATTGTTTGTAATATGTTCTGCAGCTTTTTCATCTATGTCTTTGCTTTTGTATATTTTTTGATAGGTTTTCTTAATATAATTTATAGTATGCTCTTGTAAAATCCTAATCGAGTTGTTTGGGTCTTTAACCTTAGTATTGCAACTGGTTAAATGCTTGGACTTGTATAATAAATAAAAGTATTTAGTTGACTTTTCTTCTTTTTAACCCATTTTGCATTAGACCTTACATGCCATTTGTCTAATATTGTAGCTAACTCACTCTGAAGTTTAATTTTAAGACCTTCTATAACAAGATTAAGCTTTTCTAAATTAGGGTTTTTTGCTATTTTGTTGTTTAGGCTGCAGATTCTTCTGTGAATCTTTTGTATTCTTTTTTCTGGTAAGTGTTGAGGTTTGAATGATCTTATTATAGACTGTATAAAACATTTGTGTAGATTTCAGTTTTCAGTGTTTTGGATATTGTGTATTTCTTGAATTATATTTAATTTAAATTCAGAAATATTTTAGACTTTTCTGTCAAATCTCCATGTTGGATTGCTGTTATGTTTAGGCTTTAAGTTAAGCCTATATTTAACAAGAAGGTGATCAGAGTTTCCAAAATATGTTGAGGTCTTTTTACAAAAATGGCTATAGTTTTCTTCGATATAAATATAGTCAAGTCTGGTTGCTATTTTTTGACCTCCTTGTGTTGTTTGATAAAAAGTGTGAAAAGATTCTTTTTTAGAGCAAATTGCTGTATCAACATAGTTTGTTAAGAGATTTTTCATAAGCTTTTTTGAACTGTTATATTGTGCAGCTGCTTGGCTTATTCTGTTTGTTTCTGGGTCTAAGTTGGTATTAAAGTTACTTTCTATGATATGAATGTTTTTATCATCTTTAGTTAGAGTCTACTTTTCAAAAAAAAAGATTCAGTCTTCTAGTTTTGAAGGTGCATAGACATTTGTAAAATAGAAATACTACTGTTTAATTTCTACTTTGGCTATAGTTATTCATCCATCCAGAGCTTCTTTCATGTTTGTTAATTTAATATTTTTTTTTCTAGCTAGTATTGCTGTTTTTGAGAACCAGAAAGAGTTAAAGCCCCATTGTTTAGCTAGAAAGTTTTTTAGAGAAGCATCTTTTAAGTTGGTTTCTTGTATTAATATAATGTCTAAATTATAAGATTTTAGTAAAGTTAGAGTTTTTTGAGCTTTGAACTTGTTATTTAAGCCCTTAACATTTAGTATAGCAATTTTGATTATTGATTAAAGTGTATGAAGAGAAAGGCTATACTGGACTTGGTAGTTTTGTGTTAAACTCTTGGTAGACAGCTCTAGAAGAAGCCTTTTGTCATCCTTTTAAATCTAATGCTACCTTTTCTTCTGGCTATTCTTGCATTTCATCTGTTTGCATCTACCTTATGCCCATTCTACTTCTGTTTCTTGTGTCTTCTTTAATTTTCAAATTTGCTGCTTTGTTTGTATATATTACATACTTGTTCTTGTTTTTTGTTATATTTCTTTTTAAAACTTCTACTATTTCTTGACTAATGCTGTCTTTTAACTTTTGTTATCTGATTATCTCTACTTCTGGCTCTTCTATTATTCTTAGTCTTTTGAGTTTCTGTTCTTCTGTCATTGGTTTGTTTAATTTTATTATTTCTGTTATTTGATCTATTGCTATCTTGATTTTGTTACTGCCTTTTTTTATCAATGCATCTGGGATCATATTAATTCTGTTATTAACTCTTATTTACTGTTGGCAGCTATCTTCTTGATGTTCTTCTTTCCTTATACAACCTTTATATCTGTTAATTTCGATAACTAATTTACTTTCTTTACTTTGCATTTGTCAATGTTCTACTAGTATTTTCTTCTTTTTCTTCTTGACTATCTTTTCTAATTGTCAATTGTTCTGTGCACCATGCATTACTTATTCTTTTCTTCTTTTGTCTTTTGAGATATACTTTAATCTCATTTGCATTGCTTGAGTGTTTTGTCTAATTGTTTTTTTCTTTACTTAATAGGTCTTGATAACTTTTTAGCTGCTGCTATATAATTAAGCTTTCTTCTTTTGCATCTATCAGCTGGCTTAGATATACTAAGCCTGCTTCGTTTATTCTAATACTACTTCTTTTTTGTAATTGTGTATCTATGAGTTCTCTTATTTTGATTCTATATCCAAACATTGTCCATAGATTGACTTCTGTTCTTATATTTATATTAAGTTTTCTTGCTTTTAGCAATGTCAAACAAGCTAAGTTACTTTTTCAACCTTCTATATTTTCTGGCATCTTCTCTATTTTCCATATATCTTTTGTTAAACCTGCTCTTTGACATCCTTGTATTATTCTTAATTTTGTTAATTGACCAAAACTATCTTGTCTGTTTAGTCTTACTAATAGACCACTTATTTGTTTTGTCATTAACTCTTAACATAATGTTTTGTAGCTTTCAAGATCTTTGTATTCCATTACACAGTTTTTTAATATTCTTTGTAGGTTGCTTTTTTGCTTTGCTAAACTTATTATTAGTTGGTATATTTTGCTTATACTTCTTTTTGACATTTTTGTTAGCTGTAACATATAACTTAATTTTGGTATTATTATTATATTGTTTATATATGCAATCTGACTTATCATTATCTTTTTGTATCTAAGATCTCTTATTGTTTGGCTAATTATTTCTTTAGTTTTCTTTTTAACTAGCACTTCACTCATTCTATTATTCAGCTATATTTCTAATAAGCAAACTATCTTGTTCTTTGCTTCTTCTGTTATCTTGCTTTCTTTAAAGATCACTTCTTTTTCTTTTTTCTTTACTTTCATGTTCATTATTAACAGCTTTGACTTGGATCTATTTATCTCTATATTATTTATTTTATAAAATTCTTCTGCTATTTTTAAATTTTCATTGGCTGTTTTTTACTATTTACAATTTATGTTGTGTTATCTGCATATGCAATAGCTGCTTGGTGGTACTTTGTAATATTGTTGCATTGCATTTCTCTTTTGATCTGTTGTTCTATTATATATTTTAAATCTTTATCCTCTTGTATCTCTCTAACAGTAAATCATAGAAAAGTCATCATATTAATAAAGATATTACTTCTTCTTAATCTATGCTATCTTCTGCTGTTATCTCTTCTGTTAAACTATTAGCTGTAATAATTTTTAGTTGTCTTTTATAAAACAGATTCAGGATGTATCTTGTTGTTCTTTTAGGTACTTTAACTCTTTGCAGTGCTGGTTCTAGACTTTCAAATAGAACTAAGTTAAATGCTTTTTTTATGTCTTATAAAAGTAATTATATTTCTTTACTCTTCTTTTTTTCTTCTTTCATTATCATGTTGAGAATATGTACTGACTATTCTGTTAAGTTACTTGGGAGGCCTGCATAATTTGGTCCTTTGAGTATTTCTTTTTCTTAAACACTTTGACAAGCCTTCTTGTTAACACCTTTGTTACAACTTTTCTAAATGTTTCTATTAGTGCTATTGGTCATATATTATTTAAACTATATCCCTACTCAACATCTTTAGATATTGGATAAACTTGTACTATTTTTTATTTAGTTGGTATTCTTCTTTCTTCTAGACATAGATCTATGAAGCCTCTAAAAACTTTTTGTATTTTCTTTTCAGCTTGATTTATCAGGATGTAACTTATACCTAATATGCCTGAAGCTATTTCTGTTTTTAGTTTTTTTAATGTTTTTTCTTATTCTTTTTTTTCTATTTTTCTTTTAACTTCTGTATATTATTTCTCTTTAATGTTTTCTTATAGTTTATATATTTCTTTCTACTCTTTTGACATCTCTTCTAATCTTGTTTTTTTTTTTTTAAATATTAAGGTGAGTACTTGCAATCCAGGATTTTATTGATAGTATATTCAGTTAATAGTTGCTTTATAACCACAGAAGGCAACTATAGAAAAAGTGTACAACTAAACACTCATACAACTTTAGTTATTGTCTAATTTAAGTAGTCCATCTGAAGGTTCTACACTAGCTGCCATACCTGAAACCTACTTGTAAGTTCCCTATTTAACTACTCTGTTCCTATATCCACCTATCTACCTATACTTACCAAGTTGCCTTGGTTGATACTGGGTCAAATATGCCATAGTCACTAAGTCTTTAAAGCAGTTGTTATAGAACAAGGATCACTTCAAACGTGTACTATATAACAGGAGATAGGGCACAGTATAAGAAGCTTAGGCAAAATACATGAAAGTATTTGTATTAATCAGACTAGAGCTAAATATACATTTTGTTTTTTCTTTTTTATATCTTTTACTAATTACTAATCGCTATTGCATTTTTACTTAGGTATTATGAAACTATGACTGCATTATTCATGCGCACTTTATTACTATTTTAACTACACTATGATTATATTATTAATGCATGGCTTTATTACTACTTTTAATTGTGCTATAACTACATTATTAATGTGAGGCTTTATTACTTTATTACTTATATGTACAAGGTCTTGGGTTTGTGACGGATCTGAGTTTCAGGCTTGGATCGTGGTCTTGGGTCAGGCTTGAGTTATGGGTTTGGGTCACGGGCTTGGGTCATAGGCTTGAGTTGGGCTCAGATCACAGGCTTGGGTTGGGACTGGATCACAGGCTTGGATCAGGACTGGGTTACGGGCTTGAGTCAGGCTTGAGTCAGACTTAGGTCATGGGCTTGAGTTAAGTTTGAGTTACAGGCTCGATTCAGGCTTGCGCCATGAGCTCAGTTGGCTTTGGCATATAACCGTAACAGCAGTTCACTCACATGAGGAACCTTTGACCTTGTACTAAACCTTTCAGAATCTTCTGTATTCCATTCTTACAGCTGAACTGGTATTGCTATGGCCAAGACCAACACTGGCAGTCAGGGCATATTATTAAACTGCTATGCCCTTGTAGAGTTCACCCCAACCTCAGTACTGATTTCACAATATATCTCTACTACTTTGGTATTCAATTCAAGTTCCATCAAGCATCCAAACCAGATAGCTCATAAAGGCAGGTCATAACTATACATCTTTGGTTTACATGTTTGCTAGCATATAATCTTTTTCTCCAGAACTTAGAAATTCTGATGGCCTGGTTGGTTCTATTCAGCCCCTCCTCAAAGGTGGCTCTTTGCCCAGTTTCACAAGTTTTAGCTCTGTTTCATAGGTCTAGTCTTTAAAGTAGCACCATCAAAAGTTTGGGTTATCTCTCTACTCAGGTCTTTCAAGTGGGCTTCTGTTCTCCTATCTGATTCCTATAATTTACACAGCCTAAGCACTTATCTTGGGTTCACACCACCTGGTACTGGTTTGTGTTCCTTCATACAATGTTGCATGAATGCCTAAACCTTCCAGTTAGGCTAGTATGATACGGGTTACAGGTATTCTATTCCAACCAATCATGGAAGACAGTTAGCCATAACACAAAAAGAATTGCAAATTTTCACCATCACTGAGATTTGAACTCTAGACCTGCCACTTGGGGGTTAACAACCTATCTACTTTACTAGTCACTACACCCCTATATTTACTTTATCTTAACAACTTACCAAATCTACAAACAATATAAAACTATCTCTATTATCAAAAATTCTAACAAATAATATTGTAAATTTTACTAAATTTTTTTACTATTATCTATAGTATTATCTTAATTTACTATATACAACTATTTTTGTGCTAAATATAACTTAACTATTATCTGTACAGAAATAAATAACTATACTACTTGGCAACAAATACAATTTTATATAATAATAAACCTTATTATAAAATATGTGTAAATATCTAATAGCCTACTTAATAATTAAGTTCTTTTTTATATTTATAAAAAAACTTAATCAATTTGATTATACAATTTATTAAAATCTAAACTTATTTTTACAATTCTATTTACTGAAAATACTAAAAACTTAAATAATATAAACTTAAATAATAACAATCAACAACTATCTTATTTTGATAAACAATTATATTAACAATAATAATTATATAATCAAAAAACTATAGCAAATACAAACTAATATAAATAAGAATCAACAAAAAACCAAAGCTAATTGAACATTTAGCTAATTTGACAACTTTCTTATAACTAAAGAAATAAAAAATAAATCTCAATTATAAACAGACTTTGCTAAAAAAACTTTTAATTTTTTTAAACAATATTTTTTGATTTTAAGTTTAGAATTAAAATCAAACCCAAAATTAATAATTATTTGCTTTTTATAACTTACTTTTGCTATATAATCTTTAAAATAGCAGGAGAAAAACTTCAATTTCTAGTTATATTTATTTAAAAAAATAATCTAAATACTAACAAAACTATAACAATTTCTTTTAATATACTAGAAAAAATTTGAAAAAAATTAATTCTAATATTTATTACTATATTTTTTAAAAACATAACTATTTAAAAATATTTATTTCTTTTGCAACTATTCTTTTTATATAAGCACAACTGATTATTATTCTGTATTATATCAAAAAAATTTAAAAGTAATATATATTATTAATAATTCTTGGATTATTATTAATATATAGCACTTCTGCCAAGTATTATTATTAATAATTAGTAATAAAATATATAAAACTTTTCTCCGTAGATCATTTTACCAAAACTGGACAAAAAGCAAAAAACTTTCTAGCAAGAATACAGCAATAACTACTAAG